CGCGGCGGCAGCGCAGAGCGCCGAAGATCGTCCATAATTAAGGTGATCACTCCGACTGCGAACCTCTCCATCAAACACACCCGTGGCTGTAGAAAAAGGTCATTGAAACACACAAAGAGGATTAATAAATACTGAGGCCATTTGCATAACATATAAAAGCCAGTATCCGCCAGGGAGAGACAAATATGGGAAGTAAATAAAGGAACTAAATGTATGGAAACTTGTTTCTGGAGAAGAATTAAACAAAATACATAAAATAACAGATCGACTTACTCTGTAAGTTTGTTTTGCGAAACATACTATGGTATGTCAAAATGCTGAAATTAGTTAAATACTAATATATAGTATTTTTAATAAATTATTAAATTTAATAAATTCTTAATATAATAAACAAGTCAAAGGCTGCCACAAAACGATTTAAAGTTTATTTGTTGTTGTTTTTTTTAATTTGACCGTTGTCTTATTTGAAGTATCACATTAATACTTCTGTTTCATGTATTGCCAGCTGTAACAAAGGATTTCATGAACCTAGCTATACATTTAATTGTTTCCTAACTGTGGACTTCTCTGTTTTCATTTAAAGTGATCTTACCAGTAACATGTTAAATAGCTGGGTGAAAATGAGCTTTCGTATTTCCACCCTAATATTATTATTTCTGTTTCCTTTGGAGAAATTGTTTCCATGTAATCTCCCGGCATAAATGGCGCTTCGGTCTCTAATGCAGTGAATAAAACTCTGACTGTAAAAGCAGAAGAAAACATATTTTCTCGCTCTGCAGCGATTCTGCTTTTCGTGCATGTCTATAATAACTAATAACAATAAATTACTTGAGCATTCCAAATGCTATGCTTATTTGTTTTTTTAAATATCTATCCATCTCCACACACACGGCTGATCAAATGACAAGTTTGTTTGTTACTGTTGGGTTTTTTAACTTGAGCACCAATCAGGATCTAGTTGTGCCTCCCTGGTCCTGAGTCCCACTTAGATACCGCCAACATACA